AAATTAGCAGCTGACTGTTGTTGTTGATAGGTGCCCTCAGGTTGATTCCGACTCACAGCAACCCCATGTGACAGAGGAGAACTGCTCCATAGGGTTTTATAAGCTGTCATCTTTACAGAAGTAGGCTGCCATGTCCCTCTCCCATGGAGGTGCTGGGTGGGTTCCAGACGCCAAATTTTTGGTTAGCAGCCGAGTGCTTAAACTGTTGCACCACTGTAAATACAGGGAGAGAAGCCTCAACAGATGGCTAGATTTTGCAAGGAAGGGGGGTATTAGAGAGGGCAGAGGAGGTGTGGAGCATAGACAGGGTTCTGCAAAGAGGGAGAGTGGCAGCTCTGTACCGCCAAGATGACAGAGGTAAGGAGGGTTTTGTAGGAAGCGCTCAGTAGATGGAGCCATCGTGAAAGGGTAGATCCCCCACTCCCACTCCTCCACTGCCCCCACCTCCCCAGTGAGCCTGAAGGTGTTAAATAACCAAACCTGTAGCTGGCAGCCACAAGGAGGGGTGTTTGTTATTGCAACACAGGAAATATCAATGATTTCTGTGCAGAGGGGAAAACCATTTCAGGTTGTACTCAATCTGGAAGCTTCTCACTTCCCACTAAAAAGCCAGGGGCCCTGTCTTAGTTGCCCAATGCTGCTGTAATACAAATACCACAAGTGGGTGGCTTTAAAGAACAGAAATTTATTTTCTCACAGTTCTGGAAGCTAAAAGTCCAAATCTGGGTCTTGGCCCTGTGGATTCCTTCCTTGTCAGTAGCCCCCGTGTTCCTTTGTTCCTTAACTTGTAGAAAAGCCTCGCTTGGTGTTTGTCTTCCCCCATATGTGTGCCTGTGCTAGAACCAAATCCACAGGTACAAGGGCTGAGAATTCAACACATATTTTGGGGGGATGAAACAATTCAATCATAACAGTTTATCCATCCCTGTAGTCTAAAGAAAAGAGTCCGCTAAGATCTCAGTGGGAGATGTTGTCCCCAAATAGCAGCTGTGGCTGGTTTCCGCAGCAAGCAAGTACTGAAAGAAACAAACTCACAATTACAAGGAACTGAGAACTCTCAGCAATTAGCAGAAAGGTTTGGAACAAGGAAGGACAGAGTGGTCTAATTAGAAAACTTCTGTGCATATAGAAGAGATTTTCTCTGGCAAGTCTGGGGAGAGTTTGACCAACTAGGAGGAGGAGACTGGTGGGGCAGAAATAGTGGTGGAGAAGGAGGATGACTGTGTTTTTTACTTTAGTGATGGGAGTGAACATAGCAAAGAACAGACAGTGGATGCCATAGTCCCACGGGTGTTGTAGTGGCTGTAGCCCTGAGCCCTACCCAACAGGTTTCTGTAATGCTCAAGCAAAGCAAGCTGTGTGCTCTCACGTTCTGGGAGAGACTACAGCTGCTAGGTTAGCTCAGCAACACTCCAGCCTTTTCTTTGGGTACCAGCCCTTCAGTCCTGCACATGCCCTTCACTGGAAGTGAACTTGTGGGGTACAATAGACCCCAATGACCACATCAGCTACAGTTTGCACCTAGAAGGAATCTTTAGAATGTAACATGGCAGGAGAGGATATGAGAGGATGGGCGAACAATACATAACAAGGATAATGAGGCAGGGGTGGGAGGTTGAGGAAGAGATCTTCTTTGAGCTAGGATAAAGTCATTTTCCTAGCTACACCTAAGGGTTTCACTAATTCTCTAATTAATTGTGGAGGGACTGGAAGTTAGAGCACATTAGATGCTACTTGAAGTTCACTGTGTATATAGCATAAAAAAAAGTTGCTGTCAAGTTAACTCTGACTCATGGCAGTCCCATGTATATCAGACTAAAACTGTGCTCCATAGGGCTTTCAACAGCTGATTTTTCTGAAGTAGATTACCAGGCCTTTCTTCCAAAGCATCTCTGGGTAGACTTGAACTTCCAACCTTTTGGTTAGCAGCCAAGTGAGTTAACCATGTGTACCACCTAGGTACTCCATACATACCTACTTGACTGTTAAGTTAACTGGATAGACTTCTTATTCCATGATAAGTCACTTATTCACAACGAAACGTTTGGGTACCTATATAAAATCCAGTTAAAGAACCCTTAAAGTATCTAGGGGTGCACAAAACTGTCATTGTATTCAAAACTCTGAGGGCAAATTCCAGGTAAGTAGTCCCTCTTATCAAATGATACCTTAACAATGCTTGCAGCTATATGGAGCCCTGGTGGCGCAGTGGTTAAGAGCTTGGCTGCCAACAAAAAGGTCAGCAGTTCGAATCTACCAGCCGTTCCTTGGAAACCCTATGGGGCAGCTCTACTCTTTCCTATAGGGTCACTATGAGTTGGAATCGACACGACAGAGATGGGTTTTTGTTTTTGTCTTTTTATCTGGCTATAACACTCATCACAGTAGAAAATACAAATTGAGGTAACTGGGATTGGTGTAAATAACTGAGACTGGCCAAGGAAGAATTCAAAGATTCTTTGAACTAGTCTGAGGCCAGCCTTTGGGTGAGAACCAAAGGAAAGCTGGGTTCACCTCACCTGGTATTAACTGAAATGAAGGGTAACATGCCAAATATCCGGGTCACAGACTAAAAATAAGACAGCAGATTGGTGAACTAAAGAGTGTGACTAGAAGGAAGTGGTGACACTGAATAAAAGGATGTAAACACAGGAGGATCTAATGCTGAATGCTGGTCCCCCAGTGGGTAAGAAGTACGAAAGAGAAAACAAGAGGAGACTGAAGGGCAATGAAGGTAACTTTAAAGGCCTTCAACAAAACCATCCTTTACTGCACCATCACCACCAGTATACAACACACTTTCTCCTTGCCCTCAGAACAATTACTGATGGTACTGGTGAGAGGTGTATTTTCTGTAATTCCTCAAGTCCATTAAATGTTTCTTCTTTGGCAAAGTACAGGTGAGGACAGACTTCAGTGAAGTAAATATTTAGTTGTCACAGACTCAAGAAGTACCACCTACTTCTCTTAAGAGATCTCTATCTTGTTTCCTTAAAGATAGTGTATGAATCCCCAGAAGCTACAGTGTGACCTGAGGGAGCCAATTTAAAGCAATGAATCTGCTCAGATTCTAGGATTCTAGGATGGAACAAAGCTTAACAGTGGACCTTGAGGGTAAATTTGCACCAACTACAGTTCTCTAACTTTCCAAACAGAGTTTCTTCCCTATAGACAGAAAAGAGGTTGTATTGAACTGAAAGTAAAAATATATCCCAGTCAAAAAGTGCCTTTTACAAGATAAGATTTTAGAGTTGTTTTGGGTAAACCTTCTTCCCCAAAAATTCTGCTTCAAGAGGAAAAAAATTATTTTTTAAAACTGATCCATACTTGATTTCCTATCAAAATCTCAGCAAGTTTAGTTTTAGACATAGACGAGTTTAGTCTAAAATTGATATGGAAAGGGAAAGGCCATAGAGTAGCCAAAAAAAATTGGAAAAAGAAGAATAAAGTGGGAAGAATCACTCTTTCCAATACTAAGGCGTAGTATGTAGCTGTCATAATCAAGACACTGAGGTACTAGCAGAGGGATAGACACATAGATCAATGGAACAGATTAAGGAATCCAGACACAGAGGGAAAGCAATCCAGTGGAGGAAGGATCACTTTTTCAATAAAAGCAACTGGACATCCATCAGCAAAACAATGAACCTCAATATAAACCTCATGCCTTACACAAAGATTAACTCAAAATGATTCATGGAGTTAATGTAAAACTATAAACCTTCTAGAAAAGAACATAGGAGAAAATCTTTGGGACACAGGGCTAGGCAAAGAGTTCTTAGACTTGACACCAAAAGCATGACTCATAAGAAGAAAAATTGATAAATCAGAACTCATCAAAATTAGAAACTTTTGCTCTGTGAAAGACCCTGTTAAGATGAAAAGACAATTATAGACTGGGAAAAAACTTTTGCAAATCATATAGCTGACAAAAACCTTGTATCCAGAACATGTAAAGAACTCCAAAAACTCAACTGTGAAAAAAAAGTCAAAAGGATCCTCTAGCACCTGTTTCACCATATGTATTCTGTGGACCACCAGAATTAGAATCTTCCAGGGCATGGTGAAGGCAGGTGTGGAGAGGGTCTGCTAAAACACAAGTTCCTATGCCTCCCTCGAGAAATTCTGATTCAATAGATTTGGGTTAGGCCTGAGAAATCTGCATTTAAAACAAGACCCTCAGAGATTTTTTTTCTCCCCTCACTGAAGTTTAAGAACTCCCACTCTGTTCAGTCACTAAACTATAAAGAAGAGCAGCATTAAAAAGAAAACCAGGTCCTGGCCATCTGTACCCTAAAGGGGCAAATGAAGAACCCCCCCCCCCCAAAAAAAAATCAGTTGCTGTCAAGTAGATTCCGACTCATGGCAACCTCATGCGTTCCAGAATGGAACTGCTCCATAGGGTTTTCAAGGGCTGATTTTTTGGAAGTAGATCACCAGGCCTTTCTTCTGAGTCACCTCTCAGTGGGCTTGAACCACCAACCTTTCTTTAGTAGCTAAGCACTTAACCATTTGCACCACCAGGGACTCCAAATGAAGGGCAGGGGATATTGGAAGGCCCTCAACAAATCAGAAGTGTCATAAGCAACAACTTCTAAGAAAAAGTGACAACTCTCTAGACTTACTAGGATGTGAATAAAATGATAAAGTACACACACATACACTCAGGAATACAAGTTTGAGGAGAATTTACTATGTCCAGAGAGATTTAAAAAAAATTAGTTCTCATAGCCAAGTTATCTAAAGTGAATTCTAAAGAAAGCAATGGAGGAGGGGAGCTCCTTCCTCAGTTTTCACCAGAAGAATATACTCATTTATTTTCCACTTATACTTGTCCTTACAACTCACACACTGACCCATGCACACACTCACACACACTTGCACACACTCATGCATGTACACACACATGCACTCACACGCTCACCCATACACACACACTTGCACACACTTACACATATCCACACATATACACACACATGCACTCCCACACTACTACACACACATGCATGCACACACACTCATACGCCTGTGCATGCACACACACACCTGCTCCAGCTGGAAGACAAGCTGCGGTTTGACTGCAAGGTCTCAGTGGTAGGCTGCCTAGGGCCTCTAGGGTGACTCCTCTTTCAATTTCAAGCCTGGGTCAGGAAGAGAAACAAAAACACTGCCAGTCAATTGAATGGCCCACAACAATCCAGAGAAACTATCTTTGGAATCTCTGGAACCTCAGTCCCTTCGGGCCAGCTAACGGCGCTGTTGGCGTTGTAGGCAGCTGTTTCCTCCTCTTGCCCTCCGGTTCCCCCGGCTACCTCGCCTCGCTGCACGCACGCTGTAATTTATTTCTACATCTTAGGCCCTGTTTCCAGCCATTGTTAATCGACTGGGAGACCTTCCAAGTTTCCGTTTCAATAAAGATCAACTGTTCTAAACCCAAGTTCCCATTAAACGTTCCGGGGACTATTCTAATTTGGATTTTAAGCAGCAACGCAGCCCTACCTGGAAGTGTGAAGTAGCCTGGGCTCAAAATGCGGTGGAGAAGCCCTCTAGTGGCCGTGGATGATACAACAAGCTTTGAGGGCTCAGGGACTGCAGGGATCCGTTTGCTCCTCCAGAAAGCACAAAAAGGAAACAAAATAATAAAATCTTTAGAGCTAAATATAATCTTTAACTACTCCTTCTTAGTCACCCCCATATCCTTCCAGTCATCAAGTTCTAGCAATTCTCCCTTCCCAACAACTTTCCGTTGCCCCACCCTAGCTCTGATCTTGTCACCTCATGCTTACCAAAACCAAACCAGATTTCAACTAGTGGTGGCCCTATCATGTGCTGAGTAGAGCTGCTCCATAGAGTTTTCAATGACTGTGGCCTTTCAGAAGCAGATCGACAGACCTTTCTTCTGTGGAGCCTCTTGATGGGTTCACAATCAACCTTTACTGTTAGGAGTTGAGGGCTTAACCATTTGCACGAGCCAGGGACTTCCACTTCATGCTTCAGTGTGATGAAATAGTCTGGCTCCTGGTTTCTCTGCTTCCAACTTCTCCTGTATCTAATCAGTTATGTACCTTGCTGCCAAATTCATCTTCCAAACACAATTTTGATCTTCTATGTTTTCTATTTAAGAGTCTTCTCAGCTTCCCCATTGTCTATTGCAGTGATTCTCAAAAGGGAAGAAACGCTTCCTTGAGAGACATATCACCTTCCCAGGATGGAGAAAGCAGTATTTCTAATAAAAAATGCTGGAGACTCAATTCCCACCCCTCTACATTGTACTCATACTGAACCACTGTTACTGAGCAAGTTGACCTATCCCTCAAAGGTAGACAAGTGGGGAAACGATGGACAGCCAGTAGTCCCCCAGATTTAAATGCAAACATTTTTGACTCTCCACAACCTGGCTTTGAATTTCCTTCCTGGCTTTAATGCTACAATGTAATGCTACAGTGCAATGAATCGCTTTTCTATGGCCTTTCCAGCCATGGTCTTGTAACTCGCACAAAATGATTGGCTAGGCCACAGTCTGGCAAGGGGTTGGTAGATTTACTATACATACAGCGACTTGAAAATCCACCCAATAGGATTAAGTCCCTTGTAGTCCAGCTAAGGGATTTGTTGGTTTTGCCATCCTGGTAGGCTTATATAATGGCCAGTCTCACAGAGGGGATTGAGCCTGGAGCAGAGCATGTCTTTTGGACCCAGGGTATCGCCTAGACCCAGAAGAGAGAGCTGTAACATTGAAGACAGAGAGACGGTGGGCCACCGAGAGACAGTCAGGCATCTCTGTACAGGAGGTTTGCCTGATGATGAAGAGCTGTAACACTTGCCCGTGCAGGGCAGAGTCCTGTGTGTGCCCTGTGCAACATGCCTGTCTCCCTGGGAAGCATAGTGGGAGCCTCATAGGCCCTTGGGTAGCATGGCAGCAAGACAGAGAACCACGAGGGCCTTGGTAGCATGGTGGGAGCCAGAGGCAGAGGCCTAGAAGGGCCCAGTGGCAGAGGCATGGGAGATCACCTGCCAGCAAGGCAAGACCTAGTGAGGCCCACAGGCAGAGCAGAAGCCTTGGGAGCCATGCAGGACCTGAGTAGCGTGGTGGTAGCCAGAGGCAGCAGTGACATGAAGACAGCATCTCATTAGAACTGTGGCAATCTGGCCCAGCGACATAAGAATGGACCTGGGTAATTTGGGGAAGTGCAAGCAAATCCCTTTTCAGAATATGTTGTTATTTTTTACTATACGCTTTCTATAAATAATAATAATGGCTTTCATTTTGCCAACATTGCGTAAGTGTCTTGTGTGTCCAGCTTGATCACAGATGAACGTAGCAACCATGGAATGGTTGATGTAGTGGGTATACGTGCCTCATTCTTAGCAGACTTATGGCTAGCTGGAAGTTCGAGACACAGCCTGTCTGTATGTGGAATGCAGACAGACAGACAAATCATACAAATGTAGAGAATAAAGACTAGAATCAGACTGGGTTGGTATCTCGGGTCCACAAATGATTAGCTACATAACCATACAAAAGGTTATAAATTCTTAGTTTCTGTACAAATTTGTTATGTGGATTAAATGAAGTAGCCCATGTTTCAGATTTAGTGCAGTACTTGCCACATAGTGGCAAAGCTGTGGTGATCTGCTTCCATGAAGATCACAGTCAAGAAAACCCTAGGGGGTCACTATGAGTTGGAATCAACTTGATGGCACCCAACAACAACCGGTCCCTGGCACAGACTATTTGCTAAATAAATGTTATGTATGTATTCATGTATGTTTTCAATTCATGTTAGTTTAATATTTGATACATAAAAGAATTGATACACACCCAAAAGTTCCAGCTGCACGCACCCCTACTTGCCTTGCAATAGCCATTCCCCTTTTCCTCTTTGCAAATGGAATTATATTTGTTCAGGACAGCTATATGCCCATCCCTGAAGGAGGAAACATGACTAATCTAAGCCAGTCGTGGAACTACCATGCTGCTTTGCAAGACACCCACTTTCCCAATGACATTTGCAGCTAGGGGTGCCCATGTAACCAGATTTGGCTAAGGAGACCTAAAGAGGAAGATGAGTGGGGAATTTTTAGAAAAGATTTCTCCTCCCTGTTAAAAGGAGACAGGCATACACACTATCTAGCTGTGCTCCTTTCCTGCCTCTGGACGAATGATGCTTGAAGCTGTGGCAACAATCTTTCAACTATAGAATCATAGAGACAAGGACTCAGAGTCCTAAGACAGCAGAATTATTGAATCACCTACTTTCAGACTTTTTGTTCTAGGAGGTAATAAGTATTTTAATTATTTAAGCCACCATTACTCGAGTATTCTGTTACTTGCAGCTGAAATCATTCCTAACTGTGACTGTTCTCTTACTGAATATACGTATACAAAGGAGAATCCTTAAACTGATAATTAAAGCATCTTACCAACCTCTCTTTAATTCTCCCAATGTCTAAGCATAACCTACCCTTTCATGGTCCTTCCACAGGTCTCCTCCTTGCTGGCTGTTATGAATTGAATTGTGTCCCACAAAAATGTGTGCCAACTTGGTTAGGCCATGATTCCCAGTATTATGTGGTTGTCCTCCATTTTGTGATCTGATGTAATTTTCTTACGTGTTGTAAATCCTAACCTCCATGATTTTAATGAGGCAGAATTAGAGGCAGTTATGTTAATGAGGCAGGACACAATCTACAGGATTAGGTTGTATCTTGAGTCAGTCTCTATTAAGATATAAAAGAGAGAAGCAAACAAAGAGGAGAGAGGCCTCATTACCACCAAGCAAGAAGAATGAGGAGTAGAGCACGTCCTTTGGACCCAGGGTCCCTGTACAGAGAAGCTCCTAGACCAGGGGAAGATTGACGACAAAGACTTTCCCCCAGAGCCGACAGAGAGAGAAAAACTTCCTCACAAGCTGACGCCCTGAATTCAGACTTCTAGCCTGCTAAGCTGTGAGAGAATAAATTTCTGTTTGTTAAAGCCATACACTTGTGGTATTTCTGTTATAGCAGCACTAGGTAACTAAGACACTGGTTTACTAAAATGACTTCATTTTCTTTCTAAGTAAAACACCTTTCAGTGGTATATGAATATACAAATGAGGTCAGAAACTTTCCTCAGGCCTTGAGTTTGAGGAATAAAAGTTAAAACTTAGGAAAATTCTACTCATTTTCTTATTCTTGCAGCCCTGGTGGCACAGTGGTTAAGAACTATGGGAAGCTACATCTGCTAACCAAAAGGTCGGCAGTTTGAATCTACTAGCCGCTCCTTAGAAACCCTATGGGGCAGTTCTACTCTGTCCTATAGAATTGCTATGAGTTGGAATCGACTCAACGGCAATGGGTTGTTTAAGTTAGTCAACTGCTGAACATTGACAGTAACACGCCTTAACCTACCTTTGCCCACGAACACACCAGTGTGCCAACTCTATAAATGCACTGTGAAGATGTGGCTCATCCAAACAGGGCTTGTTCCTGGTTGGCAGGGGCAGATTTACTGTAAAGTTAATGAAGTTCCAGGCCCCTCACTTGTGTAGGCCCTTCTCAAAGCCCTGTTTGGGGCCCAAACAATGTCTTCACATGGTCATATGCTTTTGTAATATTTGTAAGATATCTTAACCACAGTCATATAAGACCTCTGTCTCTTTCCCCTCCAACTTACCCTGCTATGCTTGCCCTTCTGTAGGGTAGTGTTAGGAAGGTCAAGGACTGTTTGGAATTCAGCTAAGGGGAAGGTGAGTTGAAATACCGTGAGTTTGGGTTAAGAGTTCTATTTATGAGGTTTACTTCCACATTTAGTTAAATCATTGCTAGCTATTCTGGTGCATGAATGGCTTCCAGCCATATTCACACAACCCACTTTGATGATTTACCTGGTATCTAACAGGAGGGTTCAAGGCCAGAAATCATAAGGTGATATAAATGTGACCTATTGCATCAGACATTACAAGTATATGGCTAATAAAGAAGAAACAAGTTTTCAAAAGCATGATGCCAGAAACTAATCTGTGAAAATTCTGCCAATCTTCAGATGTATAAAATTATAAGCAGAGAATTTCTCACAGATGCATAGTCAAAACAGAAGTTCTGTCTAGTCAGAAATATACTCAATAAGTAGTGTATGGGATAATAAACTCACAATATGTGTTTTTCTTTATTGATGTACATCACACAAAATAGAATTTATCAAAATCCCTGTGTTTGCAGAACACAAACCAGTGTCAATTTTACAGTGAGTATGTTTGTTCAGTCAAATATTTTGTGCAACCCAACACATGGATCACATCACATCCTAAAGACCAGCAGTTTTAGAAAAAACAGGACGAAAACTATCCATCAATGAAGCACAACAACCTCAAGTAACAAAATCACTACACATATTCACAACAAAATCAATGCATGTAGTTGCAATACTGAAGGATTCTATGGGCAAAATATTGAACGACACAGAAAGCATCAAAAGATGGAAGGAAAACACAGAATTGGTCAACGTTCAACCATTTCTGGAGGTAGCATATGAGTAAGAACCCATGGTATTGAAGGAAGAAGTCCAAGCTGCCCTGAAGGCATTGGCAAAAAACAAGTCTCCAGGAATTGACAGAATACCAATCGA